AAAGCGGCCCCTCGCCTGCTCCATGGCCGGCGCCCTGCATTGCAGGCGCTCGCAGCCTGTGCGGGGCTGTCCAGAGCTGGCACAGGCAGCTTCATGCAAGCTGCAGGTGGCTGCAGTGTGGGGAGCTGGCCATGGGGCGGGTGAGGGGCCACTTTTTGCCACACAGGGAAGGAGCCCAGGGAAAAGCTGAGCACGGGGAGGAAGCAGCCCCTCCCCCACCCCACACCTGGTGCCCCATGCTGTAGGCGCTCACAGCCTGCATGGGGCTGTCCGGAGCGGGCACAGGCAGCCCCACATGGGCTGCGAGCAGCTGCAGCATGAGGCACCCAGCGTGGGCAGGGAGGGGCTGCTTCCCCTCCCTGCGCTCCTTCCCTGCCCGGGGTCCATCCCCCCCACACTTACCTGAGCTTCCCGTGCCAGGGCAGCCACGTGCTCCCAACCCAGAAACCCCACTGGGGTTTCCATCTGAGGGGCAGGGCCCAGCGGGCCCCGCTGTTGTTGGAGCCCGCCAGGCTTCCCCTGGGTCCCACTGGCCTTGGTTCCTGTCATTTTTTACAGGAACCAAGGGCAGAGAAATATTAATTTTCCATTTTTTTTAGGGGCCCCGCAGACCGGATAGAATGGCCTCGTGGGCCACATCCGGCCCGTGGCCCATATTTTGCCCACCCCTGATCTAAACCCTGAGACCTCATAATTTATATTCTGACTCTGTTCTGAATCACAATCTAAAATTAAACATTCAGGACTCTCTCTCAGCCACTAATGTCAAATTCTTTCATTGGCCACATCCAGATGAATGTGGCCATGCAGTACATGGCACTGCAGATGTGTCTGTGGCACCACATACCGCATATTCTGCTGCTCCCCGTGCTGCAAGGGAGTAGTGAGGAAGGTTTTTTTTTTTTACCTCCGCAGTCCAAAAAACCTGTGGGAAAAAAGCTGAGTGATGCACACAGAGGCATGCGCCATCCAAAGCTGGAGCCTAGCCAGCCAGAGCCACACACCGCTATTGGCCAGGCTCTGCACGGCAGGATCACTGCTGCTGCAGACCTGAGAGGCCTCCAGGATGGCAGGTAAGGCTGCTGGGGCCAGCCAAGTGCTGGCCCCAGTCTCCTCTACCCTACCCAAGGTAACTTGCCACGCATCAGAGCACACATGGCACAGGCCTTCCCTGGAGACAACAGGAAAACAAAAGTCCATGCATGTCTGGATGTGGCCATATTCTCTTTGCCACTACCAAAAGCAAGATAAATTTCAATATGAAAATTCCTTTCTTGGTTCTCTGTTTTCACTACATTCCACACTCTTCTACTGAATATGAAGTATTAACTATCCAAATGAAGCGTGTAGAGATACACATATAATTTATTATACAGCTAAAAGGCACCATTTCAAAAAGCACAAAGCTATGGAGAAACACAAGTCCCACTGATAGCAAGATTTAGGTTCAAAGTCACTTTTGAAATTTTTACCAACAGTATATAATTTATAATTATACATAGTACCCTGTAACATATAGCTAGAACTTTGACTGTACCAAAGTAGTCTTTGGCGTCTTTACTTGACAAAAAAATTACTTACCTCAATATCATCAATTAGTTCTTTTTTCCTGCGACGAATGTTTAGAAGTTCTTCTCTCTCTTCTATTGAAAGGTCTTCAGGCACTGAAAATTAAAAGCAAATGTATATGCCATTAGGAGTTACAGATACATTTAAGACTGCAGCTGGTATTAGCTTGGTTTATAAGGCAACTTTTTCAAGAAGCTCCACAGCATTTCTTTAGTTGAAATTATGACAGAAAAACCAACATACCCGATGTTACTGAACTCTATTATATAAAAAATAACTAACTGAATGGCTCTAAATAAAATCTGTCAAGAAAGCAAGACAACTTTTTGGAATTTTATGAGTCATAGAATCTAGCCTTAAGTGGCTACATTCATGGTCAATACAACTCAAAACATTTCAAATGATGAACCAAAGATGTTAATGTTAAAAAGAGACACCTAAAATAATCTTGTTCTGGTTCTTAAAATGAAATATAACTTGTACAGTGCATTTAACCCACCTTCCAGTACAGAACGGAAATACTTATGTACAACACTTGGAAAAGCAAAAGATTCAGACAATTGCAGGGTTAACTTTTATTTGGTTGCTTTGGATGACAGGTGCAAGATTTGTAGAGGACTGCCAGCACCTTTAGCAGCAATTACTTTTACCAGCAGGGTAGCATTACAAATAAAGATACAGTTGGAAGACATTACTTATTTAACACAGCATCTCATATGTTCTTGATTTCACAATATTTAAAAAACAGTTTACCAATATAAAATAATTTTCAACTATGTCCTTGGCTATACTGAAATAAAACTGCTGCCCTGCTGATAAATATAATTACTACTGAAAATGCAAGCACAATACCATACATAGCTGCACCTGCTAATCCCCCCCCTCCCGCAGGCTGTCCAGAAGGCAGAAAACCTGAAGTGTTGCTCCAATAATACCTCAACTTTTCTGGGGAAGTTAGACTTTTACTTGCCCAACAGAAATCTCAATAGGGCAATATCTTATTTATGTGCGCGTAACACTGTACATGTCAGTGCTCAACATAGAACACCAGTTGCATTCTTTGTGATGTTAACATGCCATAGTTAATTGTTTGAATGCTATCCATTCTCCTGGAAATAGTTCTTTTGGATTAGGATAATAAAGCAGCTTGCCTTTCAAGCACACTAAAATAATTAGTAACATATTTAAATAGTTCTGCGCCGAGTGAAACGTGACAAACAGTAATTTTTAATGGAAAAAGCTTTCTAATGCACACGTTTGCATACTGTGGAGAAAGACTTGGAACAAAAGATTTGAGGAGCTGTGAGGGTAAAAAGGACTTGATAAATCTGAAACATATCCTCTGCTATATCTGAATAACAGAGGAGGAAGTTGATTCCAATATCCAGTGGTTAAACTCCTGCTATAAATGTTAAGCATCCTTGCCTTTTACAATTGTAAACATAAAATTAAAGTGGCAATGTAAACTATAAGTCACTATTAGGCCTGTGCAAAGCAGCTAGTATTCACTTCAGATTCGGATTTAGCCGATTCGGGGGACAGTGATTCGATTCAGTGACCTGAATCACTGTCCCGAATCGATTCAGCCTAACCTGATACGGGGATTCGGCTGCTGCCGAATCTCTGAATCAGCCAAGCCCATCCCCCCGCAGCCCGGCAATGGCTGCCCTGCCTGCCCCAAATCCTGGCACTTTTTTAAAAAAAAAGCCCCAAATAGGCAGATGCTGCCAGGCGGGGGAGGGAGGGGGGGGCGATCTCTACCAGTGTCCCCCCAATGCCCCACTCTGCATGGGGGGCTCTGAACAAGCCCCAACACCCCCCATTGCTCCCCCAACCTCTGCATGGGTGCCCCGCCCAGGCCAGCTCTGGCCCTTTAAGGAAAAAAAAAAGGAGAAAAACCTCAGACTCAGTGTTCCTGCTGGTGGGGAGGGAAATCCCCGCTGCCCCCCACTGCCCCCTGAAGCCCCAAAGCCACTGTAGGAGTAGTGAGTCCCAGGGCTTTTCTCCGTTTGTTTTCCTTAAAGGGCCAGAGCTGGCTGGGGGGGGAGCCATGGGGGGGCTCAGGGAG